TGAATTGTCCTGTGTAAGAATCTGTTATTGTGGTGCCACAGCACAAAAAGTTATGCATTAGATAAGGAGTAGAACTCAATGAACATAATTTCTGTAATGCTAATTTGTGATGCTTTCCTCATACATTTTCCATTTAGTTCAAAGAAGAGTGACAACATCTGGCTCTCGAATGTAATGAATCAATTACTCATTGTGTCAGTATAAACACCCAAAGTGAGAGTTTTCTGTTGGTAAACAATACCAGCATTTTGGGGATGATTCCGTAATCTCTGTGCAATGTAGCAGTGAGAAATGTTCATTCATGAGTGGACATACAAACAATTGAAATATTCAAGAGATGATCTCCAGTTTAGAATGAAAAGCCTTTGCAGAACTGCAAAAGGAGTCTTTCTCCCTACATGAGGGATGACTGATCTCTCAATGTGACCACAAGTCCCCTTGGAAAAAATACTTCTTCCTGCTCCAGTAGAAAGATCATCTCCATGTTAATCTAAGTATTTTCATAAGAAAAAAGCATAGAACCATTTCTTCAGCACTGAGGACTAAAGTGTTTGTGAATGTACTGCATGGAAGATGCAGCAACCATGGAGACAAAAGCACTTGTGTTACTAACAGGAAGAATTCTACAGCTTGTCTCAATACTATAGTGTGGCAAATAGTGTGCAACTTTATCATGTTTCTGTAAGGCAAATTTAGTAACAGTGTGGTACTTCACTGAACACAAGAAATGCTATTTGGAAAGCATTAGAATTTTGGAGGTATAGAAGACAACATGATATAAAGACATATATAGAATCACAGAATCATCAGGGTTGGAAGAGAGCTTTATAATCATCAAGTCCAACAGCTACACTCGTCAAACCAATTCATTCTTGCTCTTAGAAGTACCATAACTGCAGTAGGCTTCAGGGGTCCTGTGGATATGTAAATATATGGAGGTACAGGCCTATCTTCAACATTGACAAGAACAATTCCAAACATCAAAAAGAACACCTTAAAATCATTTTTTTGTGATCTTAATTTCAACCCTCATCTTTAGCTCAGTTTACAAAGCATTTTGTGTAATCTCAGGTGAACTGTCACATAAAATGCTCAGCATCTTTGAGTAACCTGCTTGAATACAATACATACATTGGCTCAGCAAGTCCATGGGGCCCCACCAAAACCAACACTACAAAGGATACAAAAATATAATCATCCATGTATCGTTTCTTTAGGTTCTCCACTATGGAATCCTCAGTGATTTTGGAGAGCAGGACCATATCATCCACTCCACTGTGCTTGACATTGTGGCTCTGCCAGTGGTACCTGTAGTGCCCTTTGCTGCCCTGTAGGAAAGCACAGAAAGCATCACAAAGGTTACTATGTTTCTCATCAGCATTAAGTAACTGAAACCATTATTAAAATTCCACCTTCCCAAATATTTTTCTTTCATGGAATTCTTTTCTTTGATCCAGGCATTCTATAAAAGCACATGTAAATGATGTCAACTGACTTGCCTCTAACTGGTAAAGAATTGCACTGCCCTCCAAAACTAGAGGGTAATTCCATGAGGTTTTGTAAGTGGCTCCCAGAAGGGATTTCAGATGGCAGACATTTTTAAATCTAGCAGAAAAAAACCCTTCAATTATTCCAACTGAGATGCAGTTATTGGAAGCTAAGGATGCAAAAATTACACTCCTACAGTGCAACTATTAGCAGTGAGGATAATTACCACCACCACCATGAATTCTCCATCCCATACAGTCTTTTGAGTCAAGCCTGCACATATGCTGTTACTCAGATGGAAGCAGTGAGCTTGCTGCAGTAAGTATTCAGGGATGTTCTGCAATTATGTACCACAGCTTGTCGGCTGCGTGTCTTAACAGTCCCTTTTGATCTGTTAGTCACCATGCTTAACTGACATCTAAATAGATATTCTCCCCCCACACTCAAAGACTACTATTTCAGGATGCTACTGAAAACTTGTGACATTTCATGCTGTACCACTTGAAATCAAAATCTGTTTTTTTCCAGCTGATTTGAACAGCAGTTTGGTTCTATAGATACGCCCACAAACTTAAAACCAGTCAAGATCAAGGCTATTAATTCAGCTATAAATCTGCTCTCCAAACAGAAACCTATTTTCTGTAGCCTGGCAGACAATGCTAATGGAGTTCTGATCTCTTGCTTTTTCCTACTTTAATTTTTGTTTAAGGAATACTGAAATTAGTGATGCTGGAATTAGCACATCTTACACTCAGAAGTTACCGAGTATGCTGTCAGGGAAAATGCAGCCAACAAAACACCAAATCTGTGTATTCTCCTTGGTTTTTTAATACCACAACTTCAAACAATGTGATTTAGATACACTGCTCTCATGTGTGTTTTATGGCACCAAGTCATAGTCACCGGAATACAAGAAATTCATTATTTTAAAGCATTTTGCACAATAAAATAATGCATCATTTTACAGATTAAATAAGAAAATGTAGCACTCTGAACATTTGGATGCACTCTGGTATTTTGAAATGGGATGTCAGCAGCTTACAGAGGGGCAACTTCTGCATAGATACAGTTCTGCAGGAGCAAAAGACCTACACAACTGTACTAACACCAAGTACTGCAGCCAGGCCTACAGGTTGGCTTCATCTCAACCTGACATAAAAAAACAAGGACCAACTGGATTTTTATCTCAAGTTAAATTAACTTCTACTAAGCCCTACTACTGCAGCCAGCACAGAGCCTGGAGGCTCTGTGTGTGTTTTCTATTAGTTCTCCAGCCCTGATGCAGCTCCATCTCTGCTGACACCACTGCAGAACAGCTGCAAACTGCAACCAAAAGGATGCTTTCAAATATAGTACAGCAGAGGTAAATATGTCTGAAAACACACAACCTCAGCAATTTTCTTGAACATCCACAGCCTTACATAAGCTTCAATAAAATACTAAACTAGCTTAGTTTGTGTGAACCTTGTCAATTTCATATCTGTACAATGGAAGCAGTGATCAGGGAGCACTGAGAAAATTAAGGAATCGGTTAATTTTTTTGGAAATTGTTGTAAAATACCTGATTTAAAATATCAATTGAAGGGCAGGTTATTGGAGAAAACAGAAGTCTAACAGAGGACCATAATTTCCTTCAGTGCACTCATCAGCTATTTGTGATATTGCGCTTGGAAAAAGGAACTGGCAGGATGGACAAAATGGTACAGTATCAAAATAAATATGGATAATTACATTGTTCACAAAGCTATACAGAATGTGGTTTAGTATCAGATAATAGAGTAAGCTACAGAAAGCATGGAAGAAATGAGACTGGGAAAACAATCAAGCTTCCCATTGGAAGCTATGGCATCAGCCCCAGTGAGCTCAATGAGAGGACAAAGCTTGCAAAGCCACGGGATATACGGAAAATGTGCACACTGCCTGCAAAACAGCAAGCTTGACACCAGCCAGTGACTGCTGTTGACTGTGATTAAGCCACACACATCACGGGGCCAAAGGGTTCTTTCCCCAAAGCACTGCCAACCAGCACACAAGCCAGTGGGCAGTGCCAGGCCAGCCCAGCTCCACTGGTAGACACTGTGCAGCGGCAAACGAATCGGGGTGCGACAGATCAGAGACTGCCACACAGACCTAATAAAAAGGCAGCAGCCTAAATATCTGAGAAAGCAAGATTATGGAAGATAGCCAAGACTGGTGGCACTAAGTAGTCCACATTAATATTATAACACAATTTAAACAGCTGTTTCTGTCAGTAGTTTGGAACTACCTTTTCCCCTCAAAGCAAGGTCTTATGTGCAAATACGCAGAGAAGCAGTAAATCACCACCAGATTATTGTCAAGCTTCACCCTAGGATCTAGAAATAAGCCCAAGCTTTAGTAGTGCCTCACCAGCCGTGGTTAAGTTTTGCTCTCACTCTCCCTGGAAGCCAACACTAGCAGGATGGCCAGGTGCAGTAGCTAGCACCTCCTTGGTCTGGGCAACAAGTAGGGAGATGCTGTTTCTGCAGGGCACCAACCACTCCCAAGTTCTTGCCCTTCCAAGCATGAGTGACAACCATCAAGTCTAAGCTGAATTTATCAACTTCAGTCACTTCCAGCTGGTGTTATAACCATGTCCAGCTAACAGTTAACTGGTTTTTAAATAGTTTTGAAATTAAAAAAAATAAAATCTTCCTGTCATCAATCATCTAAATAAACTCCACATCATACCAATCGTAAAAGCAATTCTTCATCTTTCTCCAGGCTGCATATTTCCTAAAGGTCAAGGATATGTACTTAAAAATTATAATGCTTTTCAACTGCCAACATTGCAAACACTAATTATTTGCTCTTATTGTATATTTTTTGAGAATTTAAGCTTTATTTTAACTAGGACTTTCTACCATTCAGATAAAATGCAGTACTCTAACCTGGAGACAATTTACACTCAGTGTCCACCTTAACTTGAGCCTGCTTTGCAGGGAGCACTCAGACTAACTCACTCAGCTGCTAACTGTCCTCTGCTGCCCCTCACACCAATACACTTCCCTCCACTCCTCTCCTGAGGGTTGCTCCAGAGACAGGCCAGGCCTCCTGGACTCCTCAGGTCCTTCTTTCCAAAATCACAGTTCTCAGCAGGCACTTCAGAGTCAGCAGAACTAGGGCTGGCAGAGATGCCCCACTCCCCCATGTCAGCAGTAGCCCCAGTGAGGATCTTGTCACTCCAACAGAGCTCCCCTGTGGCATGGTCAGACTTGGGCTAACCAAGCTCACAGTCCAGCCCTGGGCCAAGCTGTGCAGGTCAGATGTCAACAACAGCAACTTGGCAGCTCTTAGGTTTTCTCAGTCAAAGACGTGATCTAACTGTACAATAAATAAGCAAATAAGTCTTTGTGTCAGCACTAACAATGCCTAAGCAGCAGGAAAAAGATGAGCTTGGCAGATTAGGAAAAACACACACACAAAAAAAAACCCCAACAAAAAAAAAGCCAAAACAAAACCACATCTCAACAGGCTGCTAAAAGCCACAGAAGTGGAAACAGGAGTGTTGAACAACCTGGCTGCCAGGCCTCCTTCAGGCTCTTCCTGAGCTTCCAACCCAGCACCTGACGCTGCACAGGGAGTGGAGGCTGGACTGGCAAAGCTGGAATTAAAGGCGTGTACCACACTGCTGTCAGCTGTTATTATTCATCTGGTTGCTGTTTTAGGCTCAAAATCAGATCTGCTTTGCACTGACAAGAATAATATTTATGAGTCACAAGATGACCCGGTGAGCTCAGAGCCTACTGTTTCTGAGCCACACTGCTCCAGGAGCACAGACAGTTCCCACCTGGCCACAGACTACACAGCACTGTCCTCTCACCTCAACAACTTCCACACCTCCAGCATCAAAACAACCAAGACTCTAAGGAACCTAAAAAACTGATTCTACTCTCACTTTGTACATCTCCCTTAACACCCGTTTATTCATAGATTAAGACAATTGCTACATTAATAGCAAGAGGGGGATGTAAAATATATTCTATGTACTAAATACTGTCTATACTTTCTGTACTACTTTTGGTACTGGCAGTACGGTGAGGTCAAAGCATATCTTTGTTTTGTTTGGAATTAATAATAAATATTGATAAGACATTTATTTACAGAACTTCTTTTTGATGCCCTCCACCTTGTGTTACAGTAGCAACTGCTGGTTTCTTATTTTTGCCTTTATTATTGTTTGTGTGTTTTTACATTACCCTAAGCAACACGTATTTGATGTGGCTATAAAAAGATTGAGTCATGCTGTGTCACAACAGGGTTTTCTTTTAACTGGATAAAAAAGCAAATATTTCTGTATTTCAAACTGTTTAAAAATAGTACATCTAAAAATAAAGCACTAAAAACAAGGGATCAGAAGAGACTGTATATTCTGCCCCTGAGAAAGAACCTCGTTGCTCTTTCTCCATCAGAACTCTGGCTAAACTACAACAACCTACATGCCATTAATAATCATTCTCCATTCCCACAAAGGGAAAAATTTGCCACTCTGAACCTCTGACAGCTTTTTCCAGTAGTAAACATCAATCTCCCATCAGAGTGCAGAAGGGATTCTCAGCCTCTACAAGGGAGTAAGTGTTAAACAATCACAAGCACAACCTTTTCTTTCCCTTTTCAGCTAAGACAGTACTAGTGCACAAAATCCCAGCAGTTTTGGAGGCATGTGTCTATCTACTCAAAGCAGTATTTAGAATACAGTACTAAATGAGACACACATTATCTTAACCAAAGATGTCACAAAACTGAGAAAGCTGCACACCATTTACTTTACAGCTGACATCAACTTCTACCAACAGAGGCCTTATCACCAGTCCCACAAATGCATCATTTTTGTCAGTTTTTCTAGCTAACAAGAAAGCAAAACTACAACTTTTTGTAACTACATCACCTGTCAAAATTAGTAAACTTTTATAATCCACTTAGAGGAATCTTTCACACATTTCTAAAAAGTGAAAGGGTCTGCTGTTCCCTGCAGAGAATATTGCAAAAATACTTAATGTGATTGTTGGTCCTTGATTGGGTTAATGAAAATGGAGGAGCCAAAATGGGCAAAAGTGCTCCAAAATAGCTCTTGTATATCTTATGTTGGAAAAAATAGAGATATTGGCTGCAATGATGTGACCATATTTCAGAAAGGAAATTAAAGGAAGGCAGCAGAAGCAGCTAGATGGACAAAGATAAAAGTCCATTTATTTAAATTTAACATGAGGGAAATATTAAGGGAGACAGAAAGCAGTGCTTAAACATTTGAGGAAATAACAAAGCAAAAATATTGACCATCTAGCATCAGGACAAACATCTTATACAGAGAACTAAAAATACCAAAAAAGTATTAAGGAATGGAAACTACTAGCAAGTTAACATCCCAAAAAACACAGCTGGGGAAATAAAATACTGAGAAAGAGAATTCTGGGGGAAAAGTCATCGTTCTGACTGTTTACTCTTGGTCAGGGGTGAATTCAGCCCAATGCAACCTGAAGGACTGACTCCAGAGCTGGTTACAGGCTGTGGGAGATCCCAGTTGCCCAGGCACTTGCTCCCATCAGCTCCTGGGCAGGTGCTGCTGCCCCAGCAAGGCCTGGCTGCAGGGCAGCTCCTCACCTGCTCTGGAGCCAGGGAGCAGCCAAGGCTCTGCTCCCTACAGCCAGCACAGCCTGGCTGGGATGAGGAGATGAGACAGAAACTAGAGCCTGAATAGCAAATGCATGTTTGGAACACAACACGAGTTATGGGAATGTGAGATGTCTACAGAGTACACACATTATGCTCATTTTCAGAAGTCAGGAACAACATCAGCATTCTTATAAGATAAATAACAGCTTATTACCAAAACAAAAGGTACTTCGCTGTTTGACTGTGAGGTTCATGTATTGCATCAGTACTAACTTTCACTGAAAGTTTTGAAAGATTATCTTTAAAAGGGCACAGCTACTGAACAGACCAACATAAGGATAAGGAATGAGCTCATGAGCAGATCATGTTAACATACATATTTGACACAACTTCCAGAGACCATGCACAGATACCAGGAAGTAGTTAATGAATTGTAAATTTATATTTGCTTACCCTGCAACTTTTTGGATGTATAAAGATTTTATATCTGTCACTCCTCTCCATTAAAAACAGGTTTCAAAGGGGTTTAAGCAATGATACATCTCATATTATTATGGTCTTTAATTGGAGAATGTAGTTTGAAAACTCAATCAATAAATTCACACAAAATGCCACTGTCCCTCCTGTAGCATCAGATTGAAAATATTTTTCCTTGATCACCCTGAAACTAAGCAAGAAACTGAAGTCAATTGGGAGCTTACCATCTGGTTTCCAGAGGGAGGAATCTCAGAGCAGCATGACTCAGAAGCTCTGCACATGGGACCAGCATCTCACATATGCACTGCTACAAGACAGCATTTTGATGCTGTGGTACATGCTGTGTTGGTGCCAGCTGAGATTTCTGGAGAAAGTAAAACTAGTGGCAATATTACAAAAGTGCCATCCCAGCCATGCCCTGTTCTAGCTGATGTGAGTACTCACTTCCCTGCCCCATCTCCAGCTTTTGGAATCTTGGGCTTTAGCACCAAACCATGCTCACAGGCCACAGTCACCCCAGTGAATTCCTTTCCGCTCAGTCACTGCTCTCTTTGTACTGCTGCAGCTGTTCCTTTCCCCCCTTCTACCGACCCTTTTGTTTCACGGTAAAATGAAGATATTTGTTTCCTCATGGGACTGATAACTGGCGAGGCATTAACCTGAGGGTTTAAGGCCAAAGTCTGTCCCCGGCAGTACCCCTGGCTGACAACTCTGTGACAGAGGATTTCATTGGAAAACGCCTTCTCTGTGCTGCCTGACTCCTCCTGGAGCCTCCACTGACAGTCCAGGGATGGCTGTTCCCAGCAGCAGACTATAGGCACTTCGATTCTGCAGTACACCAAGTTAGGTGGCAAAAGCAGTTTAATGTATCCCCTCTCTGTATCACACTGCTCTGCTTCCAGAAAATAGAGCAGGGTGATACAGTGTCAAGGAAAGAAAACTAATTATTTTAACCTTATACTTAGGTGCAGGGTTCCCTTCTCTTCATCTACACAGAACACAAAACGAAGAGAATGGCAACACTCCTGAATTACTTAGTATTTAAATAGATAAGTCAACAAGACAACACTGAAGGATGAAAGGATAAATCAATACATTTTTGCAAGTATTAAAAGGTATAGAAATCGCTATAGAATTTGGAGTATTTCCAGGGAATAAACCAGCTCCTATTAAAACACCATTTAGGTAATACTCCACTGTAGCTGAAGAGTATCAGTTACGACTGTCTGCAGCTACTGAATCAATTTCCAATGGTGTCACTAGCACTTTCAGTGCCTGAAACTATCTCATTTCCAACAAAAAAGGTTTACATAATCAATTCAGTGTTTAATTATAAGCAGGAAGGCACTTTTAAAGAATATACTTGCAGCACTTTTAGCTACACTGCTCAATAAACAACTGAACAACTACAGTTTTGTTGGGTGTACTTGTCCTCACCCATTGCTAATGCATTGTAAGAATACAACAGGTTGTGCAGATGATACACAAGAAGCTTTTTATGCCAACAGCTTTACCTATTGAGTAAAAGTGCATAGTGATTCCACAAGAATTGAAAGACTGATTTCTAAAATAAGCACAGCAGCTAAATCATCCTCCCAAATTACACCTGAATTTAACATAATTTGGAAAAACTACAGCTGAGTCTCTTTTGGTTTGTTTTTTATTTTTTGCTTTTAGGTATAAAGACAGCCATTTTCTGAACTTATTTACAAATCAGAGAGAATATAAACCTTGTTTTTTTATGGGGAGATTGTCATGTAGTCACATGCCTGTGGCAGTTCAGGCTAAAGAAAAACACTCTTTATTGCAACAGGCATGATGAAACTGCAAAAGCTGCAACACAGCAGATAACTGTGGCCAAGTTTGGTTTTTCAACAGCATGTACCAAAAAGCACCTCTGTGCTGACACCACAAAACTTTATTAGTGCAATGCACTGCTCAGAGTTATAACATTTAACTGTTTTGATGCCAAAAATAAGACAGTCAACTGCTCTTTTCTTAACATGGGCACTACAGTGGTCATCAGTTTCAAGCCCACCAATTTCTGAGATACTTGCTTTG